TCACATCTGGGTCAAAATGAAACTCTACTATCAAAACTTAAACACACTTTCAGATTGGAAGCAAATTTTTCACAAACTACCATTTTTCAAAAGGAGCAATAGCCAACTCGCAATAGAGAGTTGAAGACATGTTTCCATCTGAAGGTCCTTATGACTCTCTGCTTCCCTCAGTGTGAGGGAGATATCATCAGATATGTTGCTCCCTCCTTGTCTTCATCTTCATCTTGCTCTACCTGCCTCAAAAATTCTGAAAATGGCTAAACAAACAATGTGTTTGGTATTTTGAATAGATGAACATCTATGTTCCAAATGACACCAGTTACACGCATACAAAATGGGGACAGCGGTGGCCATCTTGGGAGAATTAAACTTGGGAGAAATAAACTTTGGAAACAAGATCCACAGTGCTCTCATGGAGCATTTTTAACAGTCTCTGCTCTGGATGCCTGATGCTTGTAGTTCACGCTGACCCAGACCTGCTGCTGATAACTGATACACAGTTGTCCTGTGATCAAATGAAAGCCACTGTGACGGCTGTTCACAAATGCTGCAGGGTATAGATTTCCCTGTTAAAAGTTGTAATGAAATTTTAATAACTATTTTAGAGCAGTAAGAGTGCATCCTTTTAAATACAAAAAATGCAGATATAATGTGTTGCTGTCATCTGCGCTGTGACTTCTGCATTTAGTTGTTATGGCCAGCTCATTTTAACATAATTGCACAAAAAGATTCATACCGTCACTATGGAAACGAGCCAGAACTGAACTTACAGAATAGCACTGACCCCACAGACATAACTGTTACAACAAACAATCGCATGACAGAATGGTTATTTGACCCACGCCTCCCCAAAGTTGCGGAGGAAAAAATTAAAGGTGTGCCTGCCAGATTTGAGCTCAGACTGTTTCATGCTTATTCTGCCATACCTAACATAAGATGCATATGTCAGGGGGTGCAAAATGGGTGGTGGGTTTTAATATGGTTTTATTCCTATTTTATGCATGTTGTGCTTTTGTGTTTTTAAATATTGATTTTAACTGGCACCACCTGAAGCACCCCGGCTCCCCACGTGAGCAATCAAGACACCTGCGCCTTGAGAATAAAAGACTGAGATGGGGAGGGGAGAGGAACAGAGAACGAGACACGGGAGGGGAGAGCCCCGTGGTCTGGCGGCCCAGGCCGTGGGAACGTGTTTTAGCTGCGTGGGTTTGGGCTGGCCTCTGGTGTGTTTGGTGCAGGTGGGCCCGGCAGCAGCGGCAGTGGCGGCAGCGGCAGGAGTCTGAGGCCCCGGGAGACGCACGGTGGAGGCGAACCCCTCCCCAGAGATTGAAAGGCGCAGGTGTTCTCTGTTAGCAGGGACTGCTAAAATTAAAGCAGGGGGGAGTGTTTTTAATGTATTTTATAATAAATTGCTTTTAAGTCGCTTTTAATCCAGTGGTCCTTTTTAAATCCGAGTCCGAAGAACCTGCTTTTTACCCATATCACACATATTTGAAATCCTATACGACACAGACAAAGAGCACTTTGTGGATTAAAATTCTGGACCACAAGATTGCAATAAAGTTTGATGAGGATGAAACTCAAGTGTTTGGAATATTTTGAACACATAAGAGTGTCCTTAGAAAAGAGTGAATGAAGCGTCCGTGGGACCTGCTGTGTGTGGTCCGAGGCCGAACGCTGCCTGGAGGTAAGCAGAGGCATGTCTGTGTATACGGGGCACTTGATGGGGTGAGGAGAACCAGCTGCACATCGAGCCCACACATAGTATAACCACGCAGAGGTATAAAAAGTACATTACAGGTCGCTCTGTTATGGTCATCTCAGGGATAAAGAACCTCATCCACAACAAACGACTCCAAGTTCATAGATGTTGAAGCGGAATACACGAGGGGGAGACTTCTGATCAGGGTCGGAGGAGTTTCTGTTGTCATTTTAATTGAACGATAGAGAAAACATGTTTATTTGACATCACACAACCAAGAAGAAAGGAGTGCAGAGAAAGAAAATAACACACTGAATTCTCAACTGGAGACGACCAGGACCAGGACTAGCACCAGGACTAGCACCAGGACTATGAAGTACATAAAGATCGGGAGACCTCAGCCGAGGACCAGATAAACATGAAAATCAAACTGTTGTTTGTTTGCCTTAAAACAGACTGACATTTTTAAATATTACCAAAAATGCAAGACAAAAATGCTCAAACATAGTTCAACATGATTTGAGTGACAGCCCACACAGTAGCATGATTGTTCGCAGTGTGCTATAATGTGTAACTCCAAACTCCAGAAATGTTTCTCTGATAGGAACGATAAAAGCTGGCTTATTTTCTCAGTGAATTCTTCTAAACTAAGGTTCACATGATTTCCCAACAAGGCGGTGCAACAGAGCAGGCTGCTGTGTGCAAAATGAATGGCACGCAGACAAGCTAATAGGCCTGCCATAAAATAGAGGATACAGAGAAAAGTCACAAGTTTTATCTTTTAATATTCAAAATGTAGAACTTTTCAAGGCAGACCCAGAGAGCAAAGTAAAGGGGCACAGTCTACAGCAATGTTCCCCAACCTTTTTGAGCCGTGGCCAGTGTTGGGTGACAGCACAACACTGACACGGTCTAAGCAACCTCGACTTGAATGATGCTATAAACTTATAGCGGCATACATTGAAGAAGAGATGCTGCTATTTCTATTGTTGAGTTGCCGTCTTTCAGATGGATTGAACAGGACAAGCGACCGAAAAATATTTGTAAACTATATAGAGAAGTGCTACAAGCAAACTTATAAACTACTTTTGGGGGTGCTTAGTAATTTGTAGCTTATTACATTTTCAAAGTAAGTTACCCAACACTGGCCATGGCACATCTCTTGACACAACACCAACTGAAACAGAAACAAAAAATTAAACCCTACACTTAATTTAAAAAGTACATACAATCTTTCACAGTATTTAGTTTTACATTATTTTGACCAATTGGGTAATATTGAATCTCTTCCAAAGACACATCAAACATCCCTCCCAGCACAGACTGGTTGAAAAACACTGGTCTGTCTCACAAACATCCTGACCCTCATCCATCCATGCACAAAAACTGCATACTACAACTAGAATAAACATTTCTGTTCAAAGAAAGGCTCATTGATGCTTCCTGATCGCCCGTCACAAAGTCACTTCTTAGTGTTTCCAAAGTCAAGGCTGACTTGGGTTAGATAATCCCTTGACGACACTCACAACCAATAAAATAATTGACCAAAAATGTAAAAAAGAAAAATAACAAGCCAACAATAATAATAAAAAACGTGGCACTTGTAGCAGTTTGTAGATCTACCACACTGTGGCTAAATTGTCTGTAGTGTGATCTCATCATCATATATTTTTTTCTACCCATCCATTTTCTTCAGTTTTATCCACTGCCAGGTTGGGGCAGCAGCCAAAGTAGAGTCGCTCAGCCTTCCCTATCCACATACACCTCCAGCTCATCCAGGGGAAAACCAAGGCCAGCTGAGAGACATAGTCCCCCCAATGTCTGGGTCTTCTCTAGGGTGTCATCCTCAGGGAGGCCTCCTGGAGCCTGAGCCACCTCAACTGGCTCCTCACGACAAGCAGCGGCTTTAGCTCCTCCTGTGTGACTGAGCTCCTTGCCCCATCTCTAAGGGAGTGCCCTCCAAATCCGTGGATACAAACTCCCTGAATGAGTTTCCTCTGCAATCTTTTCCTTTTGAACGTTGATTCACAAGTAAATCAAGAGCTTTGACTACAGACGCTGCTCCAATCTGTCTGTCAATTCACACACAAAGTTGTGTGAATCAGATCAGAGAATAAAGCTTAGATCTTCAGCTCAGTCAGGGCCCATAACCTGAAGGACAGATGATGAACACAGCAATGTGATGGATGGGCTCTGTATGCAGGTGGAATGTTGAGCAGTGTTTCTCAAGGTCTCTCGGGGCCCGAGAGGGTATCATGGGGATCCCCCACATTGGTTTATAACTTGCAAGCATTGATAGTAATAGGGCTACTATTTGAAGGTTAATGATCTTGTCTGCAATAACAGGTCTTCCATACTTATGGAGCCGTTTTAGTTCAGAATAATAATAGCCATTGGGTCGCAATGTTCAACCTTTATTTAACCAGGAAGTCCCTTGAGATAAAATCTCTTTTACGAGGGTGACCTGGCAAGAATGTGTAGCGTGTTCATGTCTTCAAGTTCACTGTAATGGTAAATGAAGAACTCTGTACATACATCTCCCTTCCATACACTATTTGTATTATTATTACATATGAAGAAACACAACATTGTAGATAGAAATGTAGATAGATTGGTTTTTAAATGTTTGAACAGTCGTGTGTCGCCGCTGTTTTCCGCTCTCATTATTCGGCGTCAGGACTCCCGCAGACCCTCCACCAGAGCCTCGGTGAGTGGGGACTGTGTTCTCCCAAAATTTACAAAATCTTTTGGACAGTCCAGTTTCTCTTTTAATGGATCCAGACTGTGGAACTCTCTGCCCACTGATTTAAAACTGCAGACTGACATGAACAGTTTTTACAGAGGTCTGAAACAATGGCTGAAGTCAAGTCAAAACTGCTCACATGGTAACACTGTATGAAATGTATACTGATGATGTGTAATTGTGTATTGTTTACCTTTTTAAATATTGTACTGTATTGTATTGTGTTTTTTGAAATGTGTAGCTCCTATGGACAGGTGTTGCAAATTAGCAGTTTTGCTATAACACTGGAAACAATGTATCTGGTTTGTCCAATGCAGTTGATATGTCCATATCAAATAAACTAATAATAATAAAAATACAAAAATGGGTTTTGCTCATTATGTGCACCAAAAAGAGGCAGCTCTGACATTGCGTATACAAAACAGTTGGATATTACGGCACAGGGCCTTCAGGTTTCTGGGCCAACCATAAATGTCCTCTTTATCCTCTGTAATTGTGGTATATGTGTCTACAATAGTGTGATTATAATATTCATTAATTCGCAGTGGGCCTTACCTGACCACTTTGGTGCCTCCTCTCGTCACCTGCATGTCCACTGAGCACCCTGAGGTCACATAAGCTGCCAGGTTAATCTCCGAGAACTCCGCCTGAGGAAGAATAAGTATTTACAAAAGACAAAAAAACATTCTACGTCATGGTGCTACGTCCCTTAGGACTTCGCTAGTGGGATATCACTCAATGACCCCCAGGTCACACGCCAGAGAGATCAAAATAATTTGCTCCAATCACCAGCGACCTTCCTCTATAAATGCCCCTGCACAAGGCCGCACCCCCTCTTTCACTCTGGCGCCGATTGAGATCTACATTTCAATTTACCTGAGGAAAGATGTCTTCTGATGCTCGTCCGAGTTCCCCTTCGCCATCCGGCGTCGGACGTCGTCGTTGCTCGACTTGTCGGGTCAAGCTCCAGCGCAAGGACCAGCACTCCAGCTGCTTCGTGTGCCTGGGTTCGGGCCATGCGGCGTTGAGCGCCACCTGCACCTCGTGTCTCGCTCTCCCCAGGGAGGAGAGTGAACGCAGGCGCGCGTTCTTCGCCGCTACAGCGCCCCGTCCGGACTCCTCTCAGGACGAGGAGTCTGTGATTGACTGGGCCCCCCTCGACCTTCCACCCGTGCCCGCGGAGTGGGGTGACTGCGAGGACGGAGAGGTGTCGGAGGTCGGCTCTCTCCTCACGCTGGACGAGGTGGTGTCCAACCCGGAGCCGGACCGCTTCCCGCTGGACCACATGCCTGGGCTCTACTCCACGGCGGCGGCCATCATGGATGCCCCCCTGCCACCGCAACCGAACTAGAGGGTGGAGGACTTCACCTCTGGTTACGCCACCACTCGAGGGAGGAGGAGAGCGCAGCCCACGTTGTGCCCGCGGATGGACCCGATCGTCCATTACGCGACACGTGAGTGGCCAAAGCCCCTAGCGGCCAAGAGGCCCGCTTTGGGGTACGGCATGTATTGTAACGTGCAGGACTGGTCCTGGACCGGCGGGGTCCCGGACATCGAGGACTCGGTTCGAGCAGCCCTGCACCCCTCCGCATCCGTGTGGCCCGGCACCAGACCTCTCCTTCCCTCCGAGCGGGATAGGACGTCTTTGGCGATGCACGATAGATGTTACGCCAATGCGGCTCAGGTCGTCGCGGTGGCTAACAACATGGCCTTCATCACCGGGGCCCTGGATAGGTCTCTCTCTTCTGGCCAGGCGCTCAGTGGAGACACCTTATCCCAGGCGAGGACCACTTCAGCGGCAATCCTGCGCATGTGCCAGGCGCTAGCTGTCGATGGCGGCCGCACGATGGCAGCAGCACAAGTGGGGGCCAGACACCTCTGGCTGGGGCCGGTGAACCTCAGAGAGGCGGAGAAGAGGCAGCTGCTGGACCTGCCCATCTCCCAAACGTCACTCTTCGGTCCGGAGATGCAGACGCTGATGACTAGGCTGGACACCGCAGCTAAGGACTCTGCTAGCCTAGCCCAGCATCTAGCTGCGAGACGCGAGGCCCGCCCACCAGTGCGGAGCCGAGACAGAGGCAGGGAGCGCTCGCCCGGCAGGCGCCCCGGACCATATCCACGCTCCGTGGTTCATCGTTCCCCAGCGACGAGACCCCCGGGCCCAGACAGGCACACGGGAGGCTCGCGGGACCAACACACCCACCGACGACCTCCCTATGGCAGAGGAGGTCGGGGTGGGAAGAATTCTTTCAATAAAAGCCGTCCGGCATTTCATCAGTACTCGCTGTCTGAGTCTCATTTGGGGGTATGTAACTTGTCAAATGATCTGAATTCTGATTGTGTTACTTCTCGAGCATATAACGTGGCTCCGCTAGGCCTGCAGCCCCCAGAGAAGGGCGTGCAGCGTGCTACGCGGGCCACGAGCTCCGATTCTTGGGTTCATGTTTTGCCCTCCCGGAGAGAGGGCAGGCGGAGGGATCTGGTAAGTGATAATGTGTGTGCTCCAGCTGAACGCGTGTTAGCATCTCTGAGCTACAGGGCTAACACGGGGTTTCCCACTCCAGGAGCTCGCCCCCCCCTTCATGAGGCAAGAGCCAGGGGGGGGGGCACAGCAGCCGGGTCACGTGTGGTGAGCAGTCCCGTACTTATGACGTCGGGCCTGCAGGACACGTGACCGCCCCCGGCGCTCACGGTGTGACGCAGGGGGCCCCCCGGCCCTTTCGTCCACCCCCCCTCCCTGCTAGGAACACCAGGAGAGGGCGGGGCCGTGACGTCTCGTGTTCCAACTCCCGTTCCGCCCCTCACAGATTTCTACAGCATCTGGAGAGAGCAGGGCCTACTGACAGATATTTGGCTGGAGAAAACTCTGCGCAGAGGTTACGCGCTGCAATTTTTCCGAAAGCCACCACCATTCCGAGGCGTACGGGCAGTACGCTCTCAGGTACGGGGATCGACAGAGGCACTACAAGCGGAGGTCTCCTCTCTGCTGAGTCGAGGCGCAGCAGTGGAGGTAGACCCGCAGGACGCCACCAGGGGGCTGTACTCCCCTTACTTCTTAGTGCCAAAGAAATCAGGCGGGGTGCGTCCCATTCTGGATCTGCGCGTGTTAAACGAGTGCATTTCCAAACGGCAGTTTCGGATGCTGTCCACAAGGCAGCTCCTCGAGTGTGTCAGGGAAGGAGACTGGATGACTTCCATAGACCTGACAGATGCGTACTTCCACGTGCCCATAGTGCCGGAACACAGGAGGTTTCTGCGCTTCGCAGTGGGAGAGAGGAATTACGAGTACTGCCGTCTACCCTTCGGGTACGCACTCGCGCCTCGGACTTTTTCCAAATGTGTGGAGGCAGCTCTGGAGCCGATCAGACGTGCGGGGGTAAGAATATTAACCTATATAGACGATTGGTTAATACTGGCCCCATCCAGGGAAGTGGCCCTGAGCCACACGCACTGGGTCCTGTCCCACATACAGCGTCTGGGCTTTGTGGTGAACAGGGAGAAGAGCAAGCTGCAGCCAGCCCAACGCATGGTTTATCTCGGTCTGCAGCTAGACTCTGTGATATTCCGTGCTGCATTGTCCGTGGACAGACGGATGAATATTACCCGTCTGGCCCGGGAGGTTCTGGCGGGCCCCAGAGTCCCCGCTCGGCGCCTCAGGTCCCTGCTGGGAATGATGGCAGCGGCTCATGCTGTGGTGCGGCTAGGCCTGCTCCACATGAGAAATTTTCAGAGGTGGTTCTCGCGCCTCAGGCTTCACCCCTCCCGGGACGGGGGGAGGCTGATCTGGGTTCCCCAAGGGGCAGCATCGGACATCAGGTTCTGGCTCACTCCGGGTCTATTGCGGGACGGAGTGACTCTGGCCTGCGCCGTGTCTCACGTCGAGGTGTTCACGGACGCGTCGCTCGAAGGATGGGGCGGGGTCCTCGGCCAGAGCTCTGTAGGAGGCTGCTGGTCGGACTCAGCCCGTCACATCAACCTGCTGGAGATGGAGGCAGTGCACAGAGTACTGCTGCACTTTGCCCCTCAGCTGCAGGGGAGACACGTGATGGTGCACTCAGACAACACCACAGTGGTCTCCTATCTGAACAGGCAGGGGGGCATCAGGTCCCCCGCTCTCCATCGCATGGCGACGGTGACGCTGCTGTGGGCGGCGCTTCACCTCCTGTCTCTCAGGGCGCGCCACGTCCCGGGGGTCCGGAACGTGGGAGCCGACAGGATGTCCAGGGGGGGCCCACTCCAGGACGAGTGGGGCCTGGCCCCACGGGTAGCTGCGGAGATCTGGCGGAGGTTCGGCCGTCCAGTGGTCGACCTTTTCGCCAGTGCAGAGAACGCACAGTGCCCGTCCTGGTTCGCCTTAAGGGCCGCGGACGAGCCGCCTTTAGGCGTGGACGCTCTGGCTCATTACCCATGGCCAGGCGGCCTGTTGTACGCTTTCCCACCGGTGCGTCTCCTGCCGGTCCTGCTGCGGAGGATCGAACAGGAGAGGAGATCGGTGATCCTGGTGGCTCCGGACAGTCCGCATGCCCGGTGGTTCCCCTTCCTGAGGGGCATGGCGGTGATGGAGCCCTGGGCCCTCCCGGACGAGCCGGGGGCTCTAGTCCAGGGGGCAGGAGCCCTGTTTTCACGTCCGATAATCGGCCGCAGGCTCTGGGTTTGGAGGTTGAGAGGCGGAGCCTCGTAGATCTGGGTCTTCCCCCTGCGGTGGTGGAGACCATTCAGGGAGCGAGGGCGCCGTCCACCATGAGGGCCTACGCCACGAGGTGGAGGCTATTCAGTGTCTGGTGCGATTCCCGTTCCTGGGATCCCAGGTGTTGCCCGCTGGAGGGGGTCCTGGGATTCCTACAGGAGCTCTTCGACAAGGGGAGGGCTGTCGCTACCTTGGCGGTGTTCGCGGCAGCCATTACTTCGGGTCACGACGGATTCGGGGGGTTCACAGCCCGTTCTCACCCGTTGGTTAAACGTTTTCTGCGGGGGGCGCGCAGGAGGAGGCCCCCGCTCCAGAGAACGCCTCCGGTTTGGGGCCTCAGGGTGGTCCTTAGGGGGCTGTCGGGTCCGCCTTTTGAACCGGCGGCGGAGGCGAGTCCTGAGTGTATCGCCTTTAAGACGGCCCTCTTACTGGCGTTGGCGTCTGCTAAGAGGGCGGGCGATTTGTGTGCGCTCTCCGTCCATGCGTCGTGCCTGTCCTTTGGAGAGGACGACGGCATGGTGGAATTGTGGCCCAATCCGGCTTTTCTCCCCAAGGTCATCACGTCGGCCTTTAGGTCGAGAGTCATCAGGATTAGGGCTTTCCACCCGCCGCCGCATGCCTCCCCCGAGGAGGAGCGGCAGCACCTTCTGTGTCCTGTCAGAATGCTGAGGCATTACCTGGCCATGACGTCGTCATTCAGGTCGGGTGATCAGCTGTTTGTGTGTCTGGGCCCCAAGAACAGGGGCGCCCCGCTGTCGGCTCAGCGGCTGGCGCATTGGGTCGCCACGGCGGTGCGGCGGGCGTATCAGACGCAGGGTCTGGCCCCCCCGGTGGGTTTCAGGTCGCATTCCACGCGTGGGATGGCGGCCTCTACGGCCCTTCTCAGGGGGGCGTCGGTCGAGGACGTTTGCCGTGCGGCTTCTTGGGCGTCGTCCTCCTCTTTCGTCCGGTCTTATCTTT